ATTATTTGTATTTGTTACATTAATTATTTTAGTATATTATAGTAAAACACAGATTAATCATAATAACAATGTCTAACATTAAATGCAATGAAGTATTACCTGAAGAATTGCAAATACAATCAGCAGATAATCAATTGTATAAAATTGGGTTAACAATCAGTACACCTACAATATCAATTAAGCGACCATGGTATTTAAAACCAGCTATAATCTCTTTAATATACATCTATTATATAATAATAAACATAATATTTATTATAAATAACGGTAAAAACGAGTCAATAGTCTTAATGTTTGGCGATTTTCCCCATATTATTGGCGCCGGCGCTCACATTTCGCTATTAATTATATCAGGATTAATATTTACATTAATCAATCAATTTGTTTATTACTACAACTATCGATCGGGTATTTCACCGGCATTTCTACGCGTATTCTCAATGATGTCGGGTTTGGTTACGCCGGCGAGTGTCGGACTCCCGGACCCGCACTCTGTCCACAGGTTTATGAAAATATCCAAACGATTATTTCGTATCGTATTGTTTGTGTGCAAAAATGGCCCGATTTTTGCCGGTTTGTTATGCTTTATGCCGTATATTATGTATAGACCACTCATACCCGCTCTCACATACGGTATTCCCAATGGTCTAATGTTTGGTTTGCTGTTTAAACATGGTATCAATTTTACGATGTGGTCATTATTTTACTTTTATCTATTATGCTATTATTTGAAACTGAAAATTAGTTTAATTAATGCAAAAATTTCTAAACTTGACGGAAATTTACTAAACATTATTAAGTCAATCAATAAACTTTACATTGAAATTAATGAATACAACTCCAGCTATTGGTCAAAATATTTGTGCACTATTTGGACATTATTTGGTTTAATGCTAATTTTAATTACCTATGCGGTCATGTTTATTGAGCTGCCATTTATTATGCAAATTACCATGATTTATTTTTTCATGATTTTATTTTTTACATTTACATTCATCATATTTACCGCATCATCAGTTAATTCAATGGCTAATAAGCTTTATAATAGTTGTAATGCATTGATAAGTCATTGTTAATTTAATTAGTTGTTTCATTATTTGTTCCTGATCATGCACGATACATTATATGCAAAATATAATAGTTACACTTTTACACTAGTTAAAACAAATTCAATTATTATATTATATACCGTTTTGTCATGTCATCAGGATAATAATGATATTAAAACATTAAATATATTTACGCAATCAGACTGTAAAATGAAATATTTATTACCAAAATGTTTTACTTATAAATGTTAAATAATTTAAATTGGGTTAGCTGCCACACGTCAATACATATTTTTTTTATTAGTTTCATGTGTTTTTTCAAATGTACCAATGTGAAAAACAAATATTTGTGTGCATTTGAATAGCGATCACATTATTTCTCAACTAATTTTATATAATTGAATTAAATTAGCTTTTTTCAATTCTGGTACATTTTATTATGTATTTTTTTCAAAGGCTATGCAGTTTAATTGGTATTGCCTTTAGTGTCTGCCATTTCTGAACCAGTTGAGATTAAAATTATTCACGTCAATTTATTCATAAATAAATGTTGTTTCTTGTTATATAATATTTTTAAATCCATAAATAAATATAAAACAAAAATATCATTTAATTCATTGTTAATAATAAAGTATAAATTTTAATTTGTCTGAATCACAATTCATTATTTTAAATATTTATATTATTACTGTAAATAACATACTGTAAAATTGAAAATTTATATCATAAGCATTACGTGAATATATAATAAATATACTAAATTTGGGCAGAACTTCCAGAATTAAATTATTATATATTCATTTTTAAAATGTGACTTGTTCATTTTAAAATTAATACAAATGTTTTAATATTATTAACAATAATTTTAAATTATTTTTACATAGTAGCATTTATACAATCAGGGTATGTTAAATTATTAGTGTGATTTACTTAAACAGATAAACCCAGTTAGAAGTTGTAAATGACATAATATGTCATTTCTCATAATAATATGTTATTTCTCACTGATATTGTTGTGGATTACTATAAAGCAGCTTGATCAAATAAAGTAAATTTAAAATAAAGCTTGTCTTGTTGTAATATATCATGACTTTATTATTTTGCTTATTATAAAATTTCAATTTATGTACATTAAATAAACTGTAAAATAAAATATATTACTTTTAAAACGTCTTGTATGCAATTTTTAGTCTTTAATTATGGTATTTATCATCACAAATCAAAATCAAAATATAAAAATTTTGCATTAATCTGAACTGTGATCGCAGAATTACACCATAATTTTCACATAATTATTCTTGGTAAAATTAATTAACATTAACCGATTTAACACACTTTACTTTGTGTTCTGGATTATGATAACAGCTATTTAATCTTGATCTGATAACTTTCATAATACAATTCCTATTTAAATTACATAACTTAATTGCAATCACTAACATAATGCTAAAATTTCCTTTGATAATTAATTCTACTAGATTAAATTGAACCCATTCAAACTTTTATCGCGCAAATATAATCTTGGTCCATAATTGCTACCCACAATAAATAATTTGTTACATAACCCTAGGTATATAATGCTTGTAAATTACAGTATGATTTATTAGAATATTATTTAAAACAAAAAATACAAAGTTACTTAATTTAATATGTCTGACCAAGCTGAAAACATTCGACCTAATAGCAATTGTGCTAGACTCAAAATACTAAAAATAATTAGTATTATACTGTTTGCTATAATTGCCATCTCGGCTATTGCCTTAATCATCATGCTCATTTGTAACGTTCACAAAGTGTTTCATATTAAACATTTACACCGTGGTCATTTGACTCTCGCTTGTATATTGGTTATTATATTAGCGGCAATGTTAAACATCTCAATCAAATTGTACATTAAATTTTATAATAACCAAGTTGCATCTAATAACAGCATCCGTAATATTAATTTATCGTCAACTGAACCTGATACTACAAACACTGCAGTTTGCCAGCACTGTCATTGCCATAGAAACATTGGTTTATTAAAACCACCAAGTTATGAACCACCACCACCAACTTACTATAATTCGTGTGGATCATCTAGTTATAATAATACCATTAATAATAATACTGTTTCTAACAGCTAACTTTCCAAGACTATTTATTTATTGATTATAATAAATATTTTTAAAATTATATAGTTAATAAAACTTAATTAAAATTACATAATCTTTTATTTATAAAGTATTATTTAAAACTATACATAATTTTAAAAACATATCACAAATGAATAATAAAATGGAAATTACAAAGTACTTTTTAAGAATTTCACTTAACATAGCAAGTGCTATGTGTAACATATTTTTATCATAGTTATTCAGACATATTAATTCTATAAATCAAAATTAAGCTGGGGAATTATGAGTTCTACACGTGTAAATTATAAACTGTTATATTTATTTATATGGATATATTAGCATTTATATAAAGTTATGCGAGTTAAAGGTATCATTATTTGTAAATGGATTATCTAGATGTTTATAATGAGTAGGTGTGCTCATTATTGGCCTGAAATATCCATTGATTATTAGTTTATGTATATTTGTGTCCAAATCGCCTATTAATGTCTGTCCAACCGATGTCTGGCCACCCGTACGGCAACACATATTAGACATTGTTTTATACAAATTTATAAAAAGCTTATTTGACGCAATTTCTCACTCGAAAATTTAAACAAATTTATAATGTAAATTATATGAGTGGGCATCAATGACCACTATAGCTAAAAATGTGCCGCGCCCTTGATTGTATATTTGACGCGATTTCTCACTCGAAAATTTAAACACATTTATAATGTAAATTATATGAGTGTGCATCAATGACCGCTATAGCTAAAAATGTGCCGCGCCCTTGATTGTAGCCGTGGTGGTCACCCGATGTTTGGTAACTTATCGGGAGTGTATAAACTGGTTCGGGACTCCGATGTCAAACATATTGGCTGATGATATGTTTATAGGGTAGGGATGCAGTGAATAGACTATTCAGGATCACTTAGAGATGTTTACAAACGGCTAGCGATTAAATTAACGGTGTTTTACAGTATTTCAATGCTAAAAAAATTCCCGAAAAAAGTAATTTTAAAAATAAAACCCCAATTAAAGTTTAATAACAAGAGGTATAAAAACTATACCCATACTGCCATCAACACTGATATACCCCCTACTGATTACCACAGATAACCAAGATTTCTAATGTGTGAGAGAGAAATGGTGTTAAAAATGGCAGATGTCATCAAATCGGGGGTGTCTTCAGTTTTTGGTCTTAAAATCAAGTTTAATCTTTAATTAGGAAATTGAAAAATTGGTGACACAATGGGGGATAATAGATGATTAGTGCAGTGAATAGACCGCTGNTTAATCTTTAATTAGGAAATTGAAAAATTGGTGACACAATGGGGGATAATAGATGATTAGTGCAGTGAATAGACCGCTGATCAAAGTTTATTATCTTAGGAATAAAAAATTTACAAATAATTATACTTATAACCCGCAAAACTTTGTATAAATCCTAATATTATAAAAAATATATGCGCTATAATAAAATAATCGAAAACATATTATGAAATATCACCACAATTAAAAACTCTAAAATGCAATACAATGTGATATATTATTATAATTTATCAAATAATATATATGCCTCATTAATAATATTTATATTATTGGCCATCAAGCATTTTTTAAATCTAAACTGTAACTAGCGATTTTGAGTTTATGTTTGATTGTTTCAAATTCAACTTCATGTATGTAACTTATTAAATCATTAATATTTACATTTGAACTAAAATTTACATTAGAAAACAGCGTTACAATAGGTATTAGCATACAATAGGGAGTGGGAGGGTAGTGACAACTATAGAGAGGATGGGGTGAATGCATAGAGAAAACACATAGAGGGGAATAGAATGATGAAATGGGTAACAGACTTAATGGCTGGTGGCTAGTATATTAATATGTAAATAAAAAGTTATTCAATTTTCAATCTAGATTACAAAAGTCAGTCTAAAGAGTATATCTCGTAAACAACAATAATGTTTAAACGAAAAGCAAAGAAACCCAAAGTGAAGATCAGTGTCGACCCGGACTACCCGTTGCCGCCGGAGTTGAGACAAGACGACTGCGGAACTCATCCTTACGTTCGGGGCCTCACATCCCACCGATGGGCCGATGAGCGCAGGCATCGACTCCATCACCCGGTCATCATGTTTATGACCATTTTTATAGCTTTTTGTCGCGATATTTATGGCTTTATGACACCACTGGACAAACAAATGGCTACATATGTCGGCGATTATCCATATTTTATGCATTGCAAGTCTCAACTCAATCTGGCTGTATTAAATTATAGCTTAATGGCCATGATTACTTTGATATACTACAGGTAATTGTTATTATTTATATTATTCATGTTCTACAATTTTTAATGATGTCAAGTTATATTTTGACATTAGAGAATAATAATAATATTTAATTAAATACAAAAATTAATTATGCCTATTGTAACATTTTAACGAATTAATGCAATTAATTATATCTAGTAATAAGTTATAAATAAAACAATTTTCAAAATTATAGGTATTTGTATCACATTAAGAGATATCCGTTCCCGGAGTCGCCCATACGTCTAATGGCGGGCGCAGTCACACCCAGGAGTGTAGGGCTGTTTGATGAGGCGGTGATCATAGAGATGTGCAAATCGGCCAAATTCTGGTTCCATCACACGAAGACCAACACTAATCTCGTAGGTTTGGCCGCATTTATAATGTGTGTATTTTCCGTCCACTTCGGTGTCAACGACTGGTCAATGTTTCCCATATATTTTCCGTGGGGTGTAATCAACGCTATGGGCATACGCTATGTGTTTAACATAAGCCACTGGACGTACACTTATTTCTATCTCATTTGTTTCTACCATAAGGCGCGTATGAAACAGACCCGGCTTATGATCGATGCCCAGTATGTCAAGTACGGCCGAACAACTGACCAACACGTTTATTATTTGATCAATACGTTTGCAGGTATTTATGCGGATATTATCGAGAATAATGATCGATTTTTCAAAACGTTCTCGATCATTTTTCTGCCACTATTTATGGTTGTTATCGATTGCACAATATTTACCGAGTTTTTCTCGGAATTGCCCCTGGTGACCAGGTTTGTTGTTGGCTATCAGCTATTGTCGGGAACTTTCGTTATATTAAGTTATCTGAGAGTTGTCTCGAGTGTCGCCGAAGAGTCAAAGAAAGCGTACAAACCGTTGCATAAATTGCAGACAACTTTGAAAACAAATTCAAACGTTTGCCGGTATAAGGTATATATTATATACTATGTAACTTAAAATCATAATTAATTAATCATTAAAATACATTATTATATTTTAATTTGATCATTATTTCTATTACTATTAGTTAATGACTTTCATTGAAAAAGTGGCCAAAAAGGATGTGGGCTTTACTTTTGGCTTTTTATTTAAATTTTCTTATATGAAATCGTATGAAATATTGACACTTTTAGCCGCATATTTCTTGAAAATTATAGAGTTGTAATTGTTTGTCTATAAATGTACGATGATGAATTTACTTACATCTATAGTCAATAAATCTAATGATAGTATCTGGAATAGATAACATTTTGGAATTTAAATAATTTTTTAATTACTTATTATAACAATTATTTTTTAATTTTGGTATAAAAAGTTATTTTACATTTAGGCAGTAATATTTCTAAATTAATAATTTAGTTTGATTTGTGTTTAATGTACGATACAATCAGTGGCAGCGATTGATATACACCACACAAACAGAGCTCATAATTAACCGCCAAATACTGCGAAAGTCATCAAATCTGAAACAATTTGAGACAATAATGAAAAAGTGTGTAAACATTGATTGCATTAGCATTTTGGACGACAGGAATGGGCGACGAAATCTATACCGTAAACCGGCTTTAGCTAAGAAATGGGTTATCAATATCGCCGACAACTGTCTCAAACTTAAGTCCATTCGTATCGCTAAAAACATATGGTTGGAGACGGACTCCGTTGAGCTCCTATACGATAGGTTTGGGTCACAATTGCAATCACTTTCATTTGGCAGCACATCATATGTGCGTTATTTTAAAGCCATGATTAAAAACATGATCAATTGCGACAATTCGAGCCAGCTCAAACTGCATAACAGGTATCAATCGGGTAGCACTGATTTTTCACCATTATTCGGCAATGCGAGCATGGTCAATTATCCTAAACTTAAAAGCATACAGTTTTGTTATGATGATGAAATGTATGATAATTTTAATACATTTATTAATAATTATCATGATAAACTTACTACGCTAAATATAAAACACTCATCTTACAATACGTTTAATTTATTTACTAATAATCTATCACG